ACAAGGAGATATCACTGGTAAAGGTGCAGTGGTGGCATTAGAAAGGATCCGAGTGGACTTGGGAGCCAGAGTCCGAAATGCGAGAGCATTATCCAGATCTATTTGCTACAGCAAACTTCGAGGACGAAGTCTAGGTCAAATGGGGGAGAGTTGTAACATCTCGATATTTGCAAGTATTTCTGAATCATCTCTTTTGCTATTATTTTGTCATTTGTAGTCCCTGGGATTAGAAGAGTGGACCCATAAGGAGCCTAAGGGCTAAAGTTGCAATTTTGAGAACAAGACAAGTACGCCAATCGTAAATAAGGTACGCTAAGCGTACTAGGCGCGCCCTAGTACACTGGGCGTACACTTGTGTGCGCTAAGCGTACTCGAGTCAGATGCAAACCCTAATATTTAGGGTTTGGGTGCTATATAAACATCCTTATGGCTCATTTCTCCCCTTGCTTTCAGTCTCCATACCTTAGAGACATCCCAAAACCCTAGCCTTGTGTGTGAGAGTGTGAGTTTGTGTATGTTTTGAGCACTTGAAAGAGAAGGTGTTGCACCAAATAGTTGGAGAAGGAAGGCAAGCTTCTTCCTTGACAATTATATTGAGTAGATCTTGTCTTGTTTAGCTTCTTGTCACTTTTTTTGTTTCAAAAACCCAAATATTGTGCATGATGCGTTTTGGACATGGTAATTTGTCCTTCCAGACCCTAGAAAGGGTCCTAAGTACTAAAAATGATGTCCCAATAGCTAAATGTGTCTCATGCATGGAGTAGGAAGTTCATAATGGATTAAGACCATGTATGAAGAAATTTTTGGACATCCAAAGTCTTAAAGTTCAAGACTTTATGAGTCTTATGCACATTTGGTCGATGGATCTAAAGTTTGGGCTTAAGTGCTTAAGCCATTAAGCACTTATGAGAGTTTTGGCACAGAATCGCATACGTCCCTGCATAGAGAGCAGTATGCCCTGCGTACTGAGTCAATGGTTCCGTTTTTCAGTCAACGCGAGACTGTGTATGCCCCACCTACCAGAGGAGTACGCCCAGCGTACGCCCTCTGTTGGGATTTTGACAAATTAGACTTCGGGATTGGGCCGCCTTTGGACTAATTGGACTTGGGCCTTGCTGGACTTTCTCAACAACTGAGTTCTGGGCCATTTTTGATAATGGATCTTAGAATAAGGCCCAATTAGGGAGTTAGGCCTAATTAGGAAAATTGGGCCATTAATGGGCTTTAGATATATAGACTTTTAAGATCATGGATTTAGCATTAGGCCTTGGACCAAAATAGAGAAAAGGCAAAATAAACTATGTGGACCCTTAGTCAACATTGATATCCCATGTGTTGACCTAATATTTATTATTTTGAATAGTTTGGGATATTTGGTGAGACAGCGATCAGATACTTTCAGTCCAGTTCAACACTACTTGCGATGTGACTTATCCTCACTATACTAAGGGGTCGAAGGCACTATTGCTGGTCCCATTGGATCTGATATCCTAGTAGTTGGTGATATGTTGAGTATGAACTAGTTATGCATGCTAGTTGTTATGCCAGTTTGGTAGATCTGTAGCACTACCTGTATTACTATCTGATTATCTGTATGCACATTAGTTATGTTATATGTCGACATGTTATGTGGGATGGGTTGAGGTTGTATTGCTCCGTACGGTGGCCAACAAACCCTGGAGTATACCAGATATGAGTCGACGGCCGGGCAAGGCATACTAGACTCATATTGAGGACTCAGGAGCATTCCAGATATGAGCTGAGGGCCGGGCAGGGCATGCCAGGCTCGTACTATGGGCTCAGGGGCAAGCCATATGTGACCTCTGGGCCTGGAAGGCAAGCCAGACTCACATTGTGGGCCCAAGGTTAATCCATTCTATAAAATTGTGGACCCATTACATTATGTTATTTGTGTATGTGCTATTTGTTGTGTATCGGTATTTTTGGGGGAACTCACTAAGCTTCTAGCTTACAGTTTCAATTTTGGTTTCAGGTACCTCAGATGATCGAGGGAAGGCAAAGGCATGATCGTATCGTACAGCTCCTCACATTTTATGACTTTGTTTCTGGGATACTTTGATATAGAACTGTTTTGAAAACAAATGTGTAATAACTGTTGGTTTCTAAATGTTTTAAAAAGTTTTAAATTTGTATGATTTTTATGGATGTTACATGTTGCATGTACTCTTCTGTACATGGAGCGTACTCAGTGCTTGACCAACATACGAGGTGTTGATTGTGTACGTGTAATGTACCATCTGGTACGCCCAACATATGCACCCTGTTCAGTCCTTTTTCCATTAAGAGCTTAATACTCCACCTTTTCACGTCCAAAGTCAGATCCAAGGCCAAAATGTCCTTAAGAGCCATATAGTTTCCAACTTTATGGCTTTTCATGTCCATAAAGAGCTTAAAACACAAAAACTCAATACCTTAATGCATTAAGATCTACTATAGATTGCATGGAGTGAAACTAACTCTCAATACCACATTTTTTATGACTCAAAACCCCACCTAAGGTCTGAAAAGACGACTTATTGGGTCAAGAACATGCCATGCTCAAGAATCACCATTTTGTGACCAAAAAGTCTCTTAAAAGAACAAAAGTCTAGATCTACAAGATGGAGTGATCAAGATGCAAACTTTTTACCTTCTGGATCTTGCTAACAATAAGGAAATCTCATATCCAAAGTACTTCCCAAACTTCATGATCTCCACACCACTTTCTTCTTCTTCAAGGACACTTCTAATCATTCCATGGGCTCTAAAATTCTCTTTTTCACTTAGGGTTTGCTTGGGGGTTGATTTCACAAACGAAGGCTGAATAAGAATGAGATGTGAGGCTATAATGAGATTTAAATATGAAAAAAAAAACCTAAAAATTAGGTTTGCATGATCCTCATGTACGCCCTCGAGGTGTACACCCAGTGTACTAAGGTGCACCCTAGTACGCTCGGCATATACACATGTATGCTCAATGTACTCCCTAAAGTCCAAAATTACCAAAATGTCACTATGGGCTCTTTTTCACTCTTTCTCTTACTTAGGGACCAAAATGCAATATTTAATCATAAAAGGGTGGAAATTGAATATACCTCAACATTGGGATGTTACAGACACATAAATTGAATTTTAGATCAGTTGATTTTTAGCTAAAATGAACTAAACGAGAATTGAAGATCTCGTTAATAGGAGTTTAACGATATAAAGACATTCGAAAACGAACATCGGATGAGAAAGTTATGCATTTTATACGGAGTTTAACAGTCTAAGCTTGTGTAAAATAAATAAAGTCAAAATTAGCCGACATAGTCTAAATGAAAGTTGTAGATCTTTTCATGAACTTTTTGTGGATATAAAGACCATCAAAAAAAAAGTTCATATAATGAAGTTACGTAATTTTGAAATTCTGAAAATCACTACATATGAGGTGCACAACGCGCTACACGTTTTAGAATTCGCCACGTCGCTCCACCCTTGATCAAAGAGTATCACCCAAACAAGTGTGTGGAGCACACTTGCCCTTGCGCGGCACGCATGCTTGAGTTTCAACTTATAAATATCTTATCAATGTTCATTCATTCCCCACACTCTTGTAAATTCACTCCCTCGAATCCCTTTACAACTAGTTCAAATTTATCTTAGAGTTTACGGAATTTTGGCAAGTTTTAAGGTCCCTAGGAGCCTAACATCTAATAGCTATCAGCTTGGAGTTGCGCTAGTGCAAATGTCAAACTTTTATCCTGAAAATCTATATAAGTTAAGTTACACTTATCCTTGTTTCAGTGTAATTTATATTTGTAGCCATAGTCGTTGTTATGAACTTATAAATAAGAACTATCAGAAAATCCATGTCATTATACTGATTGATCTACTTACAAGAGAGGTGTTTAGAATGGTTAAGTTGGCTTGGTTTTTGGATATAAGAAAAGCTATATACCGAAATGGTCCTGCCTCCCAACTGTCCTACCTGGTTAATCCTTATTTGATAGAACTATCGGTATTCATTGAATGATTGATAGGTTTAGAATATTTCCAGTCATATATATAATGATACTAGGTTATGTCAAAGGAAAAGTCAGTTACTAGAAGCGAAACGTTGCCCGAGTTTTGAGTCATCACTTTGACAGGTGATGCATAGTTATTTTCATCTTACAAAACTGTATATGTCTTTTTATATCTATAAATATATTGGGTAGAGATGGGTAGATGAAAGATGATATATATATATATACGGGAGATGAAAGATGATATAGATTATGAGTGATGAAAGATGATAAAAATATATTATGTCTTTTTATACCTATAAATATATTGGGTAGAGATGGGTAGATGAAAGATGATATATATATATATGGGAGATGAAAGATGATATAGATTATGAGTGATGAAAGATGATAAAAATATATTGGGTAGAGATGCATTCTTTGTTTTGATTCACTATAATATTTAGGAATACATTTAAACATCGGTTAGCTTGTAACAAATGATTGTATGATTTCCGGTGGTTTGAAAATGAAAATTTTTATTAGTATTTTGAGATGTTACACAATCCCTCCACATGACTTCCAATCTAACCAAGTGATTAGCGAAAGCTTAGTCACTAATGTATATTAACATCGTTTTCAGATGGAAGATTACGAACTTTTGAGAAACTGAAATCAATTTTGGGATCCGAAAACATATCCCTAATTTCTACAAAAATCTAAAAAAAAGAAATACCCAATTTCTTTTTCTTATTTCGACTAATGTTATTCATGTGCAAACCGAATAAGAACAAGTGATATAAATGGAGACATATCGAGTAGCGAGAGAACATGGGTTGCAACATCGTAGGGCTTGTAGAGGACGCAATAGGTCTTCAATTCTTTTCTAGTTTATTCAAGATGTGAGTTGAAGATGAAAACTATAGTTGATTAGGTCTTCCAAAAAGGAACTTGGATCGTTTAGTCTCAAAATGGTGTTTGAATATTCAACATGGTGAGAGTTGGAGATGCAAAATGCAGCTGATTAGAGCATATTGGTACCCTTTTGGTGACTCCCCACCCTCTGGTGAGAAATTGATATTGTTTCAAGATGAAGGAATCAAAGAGAATGTAAGAAAGGAGAGGAGGATGTCGATAGCAAGAGGCGGAGGCAGCATAGCGAGGGTGCGGAATAAAGGTGGACATCGGAGGTGAGTATTTGGAATGATCGGAAACCATAGAGATAATCATTAATAGCAACCATAGAGTAGAGTTCTGAAGGTGAAGTCGGTTGTATATCAATGTGGAGAGAAAAACATTATTTGTTTTATATCTAATTTATATAATAAACTATAAAAAATTAAAAAAGCATATAAGGGTATAATGGTCCATTTAATTCGATCAGGGATCAAATTTGAAACAAAAACAAATTATAGGGACGCTCTGTGTTAAAAAAAATTGTTATGAAACAAACATAGAGATTAACCTAAATCATAAGGACCATTCGTGTAATTTATCCTTAAATAAAATTATAGAAATATTTTGAATTTTTTTTTTTTTTTTTTTTTTTGGCTATTAACAGCTGTCATTATTTTCTTTTTTAGAAGAGCTAGTTGTCTCTAATTATTGATTGGCAAAAAATTAATTTTTAAAGACTTACAACGTTGACTTATGCAATAGAGGGTGTATATAAATCATAGTTTGCTGTATGCATGTTCAAATAATCAATCTCAAGTCTTCTTTCAAATTTATTCATTCATTCATACGTAATAATTGCTCGCTGGCGCAGATGTATTGTCAGCTGCACGAAATCCTCTGTTTTTCTAGTCATGGCGTCAAGCAATTTGTAGGGTTATAACCATGAATGTTGTCCCTGTGCAGATGGCGCAAACAGACGTGCAATTAGCCCCAACCTTAACCCCTGATCCGCAGGATATCAGAATTTCAGTTGGTTCACATGATCACACAAAACCTATTCCAGATCTACTCACCGGTAAATTCTGCTAACCATTTTACTCTTTACTTCGTGTACTGCTGTATGAAGGATTCAAAGTGGCTGTACGCAACTATAACTGATGCTTAATATATCATGTTGAAAAGTTAAGAATATTACAAATATTGTCCCTGGATGAATTGGTGCTAACTTTGCATCGGATTTTATTTTAAAGGAACTAGAAAAGAGTATATCAAAATCGCTATCCCTCTATATGAAGCATCAATCAGAGGCGATTGGACAGCTGCTGAAGAGATTCTTAATAAAAAGCCAGAGTTGGTTAGGTATAGTATCACTGCAAATAATGAAACATCACTTCATGTTGCTGCATCAGCAAAAAGCACCGAACATGTTGTAGAATTTGTGAAAAATCTGATGACTAAGATGAAAAAGGAAGACCTGGAACTTAAAAATACCAGTTCCAACACTGCCCTGTGTTTAGCTGCTGCAGCTGGCAATGTTAAAATAGTTGAGATTATGGTTAAAAGCAACAGGGCTTTGGTGGCAATCACTGGTGCTGGTGGAATGACACCACTGTATATGGCTGCCTTGTTTGGACATTATGAGACAGCCAAGTGTTTGTATGGATATTCCCAGAATTTGCGTGATGATTGCTGGACACCTCAGAACCGTGTTTGGCTTCTTCAGAAATGTGTGGAGACTGATATGTTTGGTACGCGTTTTAGCATTTAGTTATTACACCTACAAACTCTCTATGTTGTTTATCATCATTCTTTTGTCATAGTAGTATTCCCTCACAAAGTGATTGTCGAATCTTTTTTAGATATTGCACTGGAGATAGTGAAAGCGTACCCAGATCTTGGTGGGAATACTGTACTTGGAATTTTGGCTAAAAAGACTGATGTATTTGCTGCAACAGAATCTAATATCATCAGGAGAACTATCAACTGGGGTAAGATCTCAACTCCTTGATGTTGATTATACATACATCTTCAGTCTACAAAGCTAGAAACAAAATATCGATATGAAATGTGAGAAAGAGCTATTAAACAAGTCGCAAATTTCTTTTTATAAAATAAACATTTTCTAAACCATGTGATATTGCCAGAAGTTTGCTAGTCATAACAATATTCCTTTATATTTATCAAGTAACTGAACTGTATATATAACCCAACTTCATCCATCAGTTTTTAACTTGTGAATATCTGTTAGGCTCTGATAACTGAAATTAGCTAAGCCCACCTTTGGATTCTGTTTCCCATTGTTGCTTTCTTTCAGTTTGGACTTGCATTCATCCAAAGGTGGGACCTTCTAAAATGGAAAGTAAAGCTAATGCATTGGAACTACTAAATATTATTTGGGGAGCAATTGCGGAGAAGCCTACAAAGGAAATTGATAACATAATCAGAGGGCAGCCTGATCCCATTAAGAAAGATGACAAGCCAGCTTCTGACACAGAACAAACTCTACAGCTACTACAAAAAATTTCAGAAAATACTTCTAAAAAGCATGATGAAAGGGGGACAGCTACAAACAATATGAATGCAGCCTTGCAGGAAAATGCAAGACCAAAGTACTCTTCCCGAATACTGTTTGTTGCTGCTGAAATGGGAAATACTAGATTTATTATTGAGCTCATCCGTCTGTATCCTGATATAATATGGAAAGTAAACGATGACAATCAAAGCATATTCCACACTGCTGTCAAACATCGTCATGAGGGTATCTACAACTTATTATACGAGATAGGCTCAATGAAGGATCTCATAACTCCTCTCAAAGATAAAAATGACAATATTATGTTGCATTTAGTTGGGAAGAGTGCTAAGAAAAGGCGACTTGAGGATGTGTCCGGAGTTGCATTCCAAATGCAATGAGAACTATTATGGTTCAAGGTATATATGTTTTCTTCCCCACACTATCTTTTTTTTTTTTTTCCACTTACATCACTTCATATTTCATCTAACATTGACATAAAACACGTTGTCACAGGAAGTGGAGGAGATGATCCCTCCTTCTTATCGGGAACGGAGGAACAAAGATGGATTAACACCACACGAGTTATTCACCAAGGAACACAAAGATCTAGTCAAACAAGGTGAAGATTGGATGAAAGATACAGCTAGTCAATGTATGGTGGTTGCCGCACTTATTGCCACCATTGTATTTGCTGCAGCTTTCACAGTTCCAGGTGGCTACGATCAGAATGATGGCATCCCGATTTTTTTTGAAAACGAAGCCTTTATTATTTTCGTAGTGGCAGATGCCATTTCTTTGTTCTCTTCATCAGCTTCGATCCTCATGTTCTTATCCATACTCACATCACGTTATGCCGAACGTGATTTCCAGGAGTCATTGCCCAAAAAGCTGATGGTAGGTCTAGCAACACTGTTCCTCTCGATAACAACCATGATGATTGCTTTTAGTGTTAGCTTCTTCGTGCTATACCACAACAAACTGAAATGGATACCGATCCTTATTACATTTTTTTCTGCCTTGCCAGTCATCCTATATGCTATGCTGCAATTTTCTCTGTTAAAAGATGTCTTTTTCTCGACTTATACTTCTAGGTACCTCTTCCGGCCCAAGAAACATATTCTTTACGATGAAAACTGTAAGCCTAATCGTCGTAGATTCCCATTCACAATTCCTTTCATTTCAAGATGTACTACAAAAATATCCAAACCGTTGTAAGTTTTAAAAAAGTTATTGTAATATGATTCACTCGTGTTTGTTGCAATGGCTTTGTTTAGATTCATAAGATACCACATATAAATGTGACAATATGTTTTTTTATCATGGGTTGTTATATTCCAACGCTGCCTAAAAGAATGACTAAATTAACTGTATTTATTATATAAGCCATCGAATAATTTCAACAAGAATCCAAGATTCAATACCCATTTGAGCTAAATTCCAAGAAAACCACAACTAGGGCTCATAATGTCAACCATACCTCTGATTTCTTTAAATTTTGGCTAATAGCTTGCTTGATCCTATCCGTGAAATCTTCAAGGGTTATCCCCAGATCTTAAATTGCTTTCATCACTTTGATGTTTCTTTTTGTAATGGCTTTTTTCGCGTTCAAAACACACTTCTATTCACTCTGTTCTCGACTGAGTGAAATGAAAGGGAATGAAAGTAGAATACAGGGGAAATGTGTTCTTGATTTCCATTTCATTTCATTCCATTTTCCTCCATCACTACCATCCGTCCTCTAGGTCGCCACAATGCACCATCAGTCTGCTCCAATACGGCTTTCTCCACTGAGTCTACTGCCATTACAGCCCTTCTCACAACTCTATTTACGTAGATCTCGACTCATTACAAATATAGAATTTTTGTTTGATTGTATAAAGAAAAAACAATGGGTTGTCGTAACCAAATCTTAAGCCCTAATTCCTTCAATTCAAGATCAAACAAAATTCATCCTCTCTCTTTTTTGTGTCGCTATATCTCTGCTCTGTGGTTGATTACCCAACTAAGTACCTGGATCTCAAAATTATAGCAGGGAGTTACCTTCCGTTAAAAATAGGGCAATTTAAACGGACACGATTAAAAGTTGAGATGATCCAAAGGCTCAAGACTACTTTAAAAATATTATATATAATTCTAGGATTGAATTAATGGTTTTCTTAATTATGGAGATGGAGATGGAGATGAGAAGCAGAAGCGAGAGAGGCAGAATGGTCATTTCAATGAATTTAACAGCAATAAGTGAAATGGTCCACGGACTAGAAGCGTGACAAAAATGCTTTCCACATCCAAAAGAGGTTAAAAATTCATCCGAGTAAGCATATATGATAGACATAAATAATATATGAAAAAAGTCAGCAATTAAATCGAATATTGTAACTTGCCAGTGATAATATTATATGTATATCTTCTTCCGTTTTGGCAACTAAATGTTGACATTAAGTGGGAAAATAACTCATTTTTAGACCACAGAAACCGTTGACATTGACTTAAGCAAAGGGAAATTGTATATAAATCATAGCATGCTGCATGCATGTTGATCACATAATCTCATCTCATATCCCAAGGCCTTTTTAAATTTTTTATCAGGTTGTTATTGCTCGCTGACGCAGAGGTATTGTCAGATTAATTTCACCAAATCGTATGAGGGTTATAACTTTTAATCATTATTCATCAATATTTAATTAATGATGTTTTTCTGCAGATGTCGCAAAAAGGTCTCCCATTACCCAACTCCAATGTGCAGAATCCAACAAGCCAACAGCAGCAACATGCAACCGGAGTTTCGTTTGCTCCACAAGATCTACCAATACCTGCATATCCAGTTAATACGGGTAACTTCTATCCACTAGTTAATCTTTCTCCAGCACTTTTTTACATACAAAATTCGCTTCCGTTATAATCTCCTGTTGTTTTCTACTGTTAAAGATCACAAAAAAGCAGCAGATGTCCCAGTACCCCAATATCCATCAATACCACATCCATTTACGGGTAACTTTTGTCCACTAATTAATCTTTCTCCTATACTTTTCTACATACACAATTCGCTTCCGTTACAATCTCATGTTTTTTACTTTTGAAGATCACAACAAAGCAACAGATGTCCCAGTACCTCAATATCCATCAATACCACATCCATTTATGGGTAACTTCTACCCACTAATTAATCTTTCTCCTATACTTTTCTATATATGCAATTCGCTTCCCTTACAATCTCTTGTTGTTTTTTACTGTTAAAGATCACAACAAAGCAGCAGATGTTCCGGTACCACAATATCCAGTACCCCAATATCCATCAATACCACATCCATTTACAGGTAACTTTTGTCTACTAATTAATCATTCTCCCACACTTTTCTACATACACAATTTGCTTCCATTACAATCTCCTAATGTTTTTACTTTCCCAATCACAACAAAAAAAGTAGATGTCCCGGTACCCCAATATCCATCAATACCACATCCATTTATGGGTAACTTCTGTCCACTAATTAATATTTGGTTTTAGGTCATTTTTGATCACTTAATTTTTGGTTTTGTGTTCATCTGGTCACTTAACTCTTTTTAAGTTTTAAAAGGTCATTAAACTTTTGGTTTTCTGCTCATTTAGTCACTTAACTTTTGGTTTGGTTAGATTTAGTCACCTAACTTTTAAAATTGTGCTCATTTAGTCACTAAACTTTTAAATTTTTTCAAAAGTTTAGTGTTAAAAGTTTAGTGATTAAATAAGCACAATTTTAAAAGTTAGGTGACTAAATGAGCACAAATCTAAAAGTTAAGTGACCAAATAAAAAGTTAAGTGATTAAATGAGCACAAAATCAATAGTTTGATGACCATTTAAAACTTAAAAATGAGCACAAAACTAAAAGTTAAGTGACCAAAAATGACCTAAACCCTTAATATTTCTCCTATACTTTTCTACATACGCAATTCGCTTCCGTTACAATTGTTTGTTGTTTTTTACTGTTAAAGATCACAACAGAGCAGGAGATGTCCCGGTACCCCAATATCCACCCCAATATCCATCAACACCACATCCATTTACAGGTAACTTCTGTCTACTAATTAATCTTTCTCCCATACATTTCTACATACACAATTCTCTTCATTACAATGTCTGATGTTTTTACTTTTCCAATCACAACAAAAACAACAGGTTTCCCATTACCCAACTTCGATGTGAAGAATCCACCAAGCCAACAACAACAACATGTAGTTGGAGTTTCGTTTGCTCCACAAGAGAAAGCAATACCAGATCTGTTTAACGGTAACTTTTGTTAACCATTTTCCTCTGAACTGTTGCTTTTGTTGTGATCTGAAAAATAAAACAAAAAGTGTTGGAATCAAATCGCTTGATTCTTCAAGATTCTTTATGCATAATCAAGTCACTTGATTCTATGAGAATGTAGCTCAAACAAGGAAGGAAACTAAAGAGGAACAGAATTCGTGAAAGAAGAACAAGGCTTAACAGGAATCAGTTTTCGTGATTCTTGTGGAATGAGACAAATCTTAACTTTGCAGGAAAAGAAACATGGAAGAAAAACTTTCTAAGAATTTACTTAGGTTGCAAGTACCTTACTAATCAAAGCTTAAAAACTTACAAAACTTGAGCTGAAAACATAAAACATCTACCCTATTTATACTAAACGGATTGGAATCCTACATACTACAATACAAAAACTCAATAAAATAGAAACTTTCCAGTTTTACCCCTAGGCTTAATTAAATTGTCCGGATTTCTAAATTATCCACCATGTAGAAAAGTGTCGGAGAAAGATTAATTAGTGGGCCACAATAACCACAAGATTCTTTATTGCTTAGCAAAATATAACTAATTAAGAACAAGTCATGAATTTCTTTAGCATAGGTGTGATGGTCTTATGGAGTTAACAAAAGAGGTTAATTGGTGATTGGTCCCAACATTAAATTTAGACAAAACCTCATAAATGGTCTCTGTGGTTTCCCGAAATCTCGGATGGTCCTTGTTTCAATTTATATCATGGTTGGTTCCTTATCCATCTAAAAAGACTTTTATATCCTTTTTAATTTGTTTTATGATTCATACGTAAGTTTCTCACTCCCACTCGATCGCTTAAAGCATTAGAGTTTCCTTCAACAAGATTACAAAGAATAAATTCCAAACTTACACCAATACAACAAATTTCTTGTCACAACAAGTAACCAATGATAACAACACACAAATGGATGTATATTGCACTATGTGGGAGCTATCTCATCGTAGTTTGACTCCTTTCTTTTAGCTAAACCCATAAGCTTTGAGCCGTGCATCAAACCATGTTGTCTCGAATACTAGTATATAAACCCATTCACTTTTAATTATGCATTTGCTTTGCATTAAAACCCTTGTGCATGAGGAGCATGGAAGAGACTGTCGTGAGA